AGAGCCCCGCCGAGGGGGCTTGTTGTCATGGTGGGGGACAGCCTGCCTGGCCACTGCAGGACAGGGGCTCAGCCAAAGCCCACAGCAGGCTTTGCCATGGACACATGCAGCTGGAGGGACAGACGGGAGCACGGCAGGGTCCTTTGGGTGCTTACTTCATCAAAGCCCATTTTCGTGAGTGGCTTGGGAAGGAGAGAAATGTGCCTGGAGCGCTGCATGGGGGGTCCATCCACTGTGGAGAGAGGGGACATCCGTTTGGGTGGAGCCCAGACCCCCCAGGAAAGGAGCAGCCCTGCCCTGGGGACTGGCACCGGGTCCATGTCACCCTTGGGGCAGGGGACACCTCTGGGACCCTGCCGTCTGCAGGTGCTCACCCATGGCCTCCAGCGTGAGATGCACAAAGTTGGCACGTTCATCCTCCAGCGTCTGGTGGGCTTTCACAGGGACATTGATGTAGCCAAAGCGCTGCTGGTTGCACACATGGACCTGCGCACCTGCCGAGTGGGACAGGTGAGCACCACAGCCCCCCCAAACACCCAGACTTCCCCCGGCTCCCCGCTGCCTTCACCAGCTGCCTGGCCGGAGTAAGCGAAGACGATGATATCGTCGAAGGCCCAGGTGTAGTTGGGATGGGGCGGGTAGAAAGCCAACTGTGATGTCTCTTCCTTCCGCAGGTCGATCAGGAAGGTGGCGTAGACCATGGGGACAGAGAAGCAGCCCACCTGCTGCCGGTTCTTGGTGGGGAAGTAGTCGGCTGTCCGGCGGTAGTAGCCCTGCAGCACACCAGCATGATGCCCCCATGGTGGGGGGTTCCTGTGCCACGGGGAGGAGGGTCCCCTTCCCCAGGGCGTACCTGGGGCGTGATGCCGCACCAGAAGTTGGAGTAGAAGGTCTGTGAGTCCAGCATGGGGGCCACCACTGACTTGTTCTGTGCCATGAGGAACTTGAGGGTCTGGTTGTTGGTCAGGATGCTGTCGGTGTCCACAAACTGGGAGGACAGCACAGGTCCTGGAGCCGCAGGGACATCTCCCTCAGCCCCTACCTTGCCGACACCTCGTGTCCCTTACCAGGACGTAGTCTGCCCGCTGCTCCCGGGCGTAGATGAGAGCCTCCTGCTTCAGCCTCATCAGGTTTTCGTAGCGTTTGTCGCTCCAGTGTTTGGGCCCGAGCTCATCAGGGTAGGAGCTGGGTGGGGGGAGGCAGGGGTTAACCCCGCTCACTGGGAACGAACAAACTCCATGCATGCTGCTGCATGCCGGCCGGCTGAGTCAGCACAGCCCTGCCTCACCACCGCTCCTGCGGGCAGTGTCCCTGGTTGGGAAGTGGGGTGCTGCTCCAAGAGCCCCTCGCAGCCCACACCCACCCCACTCGGCACCCCCCAGCCTCACCTGGGCTCCTCCTGCACCTTCCAGGCCACCGAGTGATAGTCGTTCC